GGAAAAAGAAAACTTAATTCTTCTCTCGAGGATCTTTACATATAGCCTTGATTGTATCATGCACAATGTACAATCGATTGTACATACAAAAAAAAAAAAAAATGATTTCGTATGTGTGTTTGGTTGCAATGTGGAATGATTTAATTCAGCTTGAAACAAAAGCAATTTATTAAAAAACATATAATTATTAAACATTGACGAAAGTCACAAAACAATCAGAGAGTACACCAAACCTTGAGGATGACAAAAATCAATACTCCCTCGCCAAGCAAAGATTAAATATGCAACTACATCTCACACATTGAACATAAAATAAACATAGCACAATGCTGTGTTTTGAAGTGTCTAAGATGAAAAAGAGAATACTAAATACGAGTACGATAATACCCAGAACTAAAAACCATGTGATTCTAATATATTAACCTAGCTACTACGATCCAAATAACAACTACTATACTGGAGTCTCATGCCAAAAATACATAGCAAAATTCTCCAACTTATCACTGTTCGCCTGATTTTCCAGCGGTTTCCTTAATCTCGTCACCGCCTTCCTCCTGAATAAATAAATAGATTTGGGCATGGTCAGTTAAACAGAGGTGTAGGGGTCACAATTAAAGCTTAAGATGATGATAATACGAGTATGTAATAATAAAAACAGCAATAAACTTCAAAGACAGCCAAAACAAGAGGTGAAAAAGGTTGCCTGCAAACAAGTACAAAGGCTTCTCAAGCAAACATGATACATGTTCTGAAATGATACAGAGAGGGTATTCATAAACATCGGGCATTAGCAAAGATAAAAATACAACTACTAACCCCCCCAAAATAATGATCAAATTTCTTAGGCGATCACACTTCTGTAGTTTTGTTCATGATGATGCAAGCTTCTATTACATACTTATGACAAATAAAATGGTGGAAGGGTGCCCTAGAAAATAGTAAGACATCATTTCCCGTAAGAAAAGTCCTACATGTCATCCCATACTTGTCTAGTTAGCATTCCATTACTGACTAATTTAAACTAAGAAGATAGTATATAAAGAAATGTATGCTGCCAGATGTGAAAATTCCTAAAGACGTTCAAAATGCTCAAGATAAGGTAGTTAAGATACTCAAAGCCTTAGACAATGAATAGGGTTATTTGCATGTGTAACCACAAAATCAGAAACCAATTGGCAGCTTGTAGCAGGTGTATAATCCCTTATAGCTTCAGACAATAGCCTATTTTGACTACTCTCGGCCAATCTACTGAATATTAAGTCTCACTAAACATCTCATCCTTGCAGCAGAAGCAACCAATTCTAATTTTCATATTTATTACATGTTAACCTATCTTAAACAAAGGGATAATAATTCTATCTTTAATGAAATCAATGATAGAACAAACCATAAAAAGAGCCCAAAAAGAGAATCCAGCAGCACATTGGGCGAGAATAAATCAGATTTAAGTTAACTTCACAGTAGGCTACAAAAGGCATAAATAGACTCCTTAGGAACAGATAAATACCGCATTGTCTGAAGTCCAAAGGGTCAAATTGTCTCGCAGCAGCTGCATGATCAATGTGCTGTCCTTGTATGAATCCTCACCCAATGTGTCCAGCTCAGAGATAGCCTCGTCAAAAGCCTATATAGTACACAATATTGTAGAGTCAGAAACCAGGACACTTTACACCAGAGCATAGCCAGCCTCCTCATAACAAGCAAAATAAGGGCCAGTCCAAGCTTAAACAGTAAAATACTTCTGATATTTAGTAAACTTTTTAACATAGATCATTATGTTAGGGCTTGATACAGCATAATTCAATACCTTTACACGGTTACAATGCACTCAATAAGTTAAAAGGTTCAGAATATTTAACAAATAATTCTTCACAATGTCAACAAAACTTTTTTTGTTTCTCTCTAACACGAAATAACTTAAGTTCATTCATAACCAAATAGTCATATAAAATACGGAGAAGTTCATTCATAATCAGATAGTCATATAAAGCAAGGCTTTACAAGCATATAATTGTGTTTAAAGCATGTGAAGAACTAACGATTTAAATGGACAATAAAATTCATCAACATGATCAGTGAAAAAACTAATACTAACAAAACAAAACTAGTATACAATGTAATACCTGCTTGGCAAGATTGCAGGCACGGTCAGGAGAATTCAAAATCTCATAGTAAAATACGGAGAAGTTAAGAGCAAGCCCGAGCCTAATTGGATGAGTAGGAGGCAATTCAGCAAGAGCAATATCCTGGATATAGGGGGGAAAATCATATAAAATAAGTCAGCAAATCCCATCCAAAAGAACAAATGAGAATAGGAAATATATTGAAGAACCAACCTGAGCGGACTTGTAAGCCAACAGGGTGTTCTCAGCAGCCTCCTTCCTCTCAGCTCCTGTCTTGAACTCAGCAAGGTATCTGTGATAGTCACCCTTCATCTTCTGGTAGAATACCTTAGACTCGGCAGAGGAAGCCGAAGGGATGAGGTGCGATTCAAGAAGGTTCAAAATCCCATCACAGATCTTGCTAAGCTCGGTCTCAATCTTACCCCTGTACTCCTTGATGGTTGTAACATGATCTTCGTTTCCTCTACTTTCCTCCTTTTGCTCAATCGAAGAAATGATCCTCCAAGAAGCCCTCCTTGCACCAATCACATTCTTGTAAGCCACGGACAAGAGGTTCCTCTCTTCCACAGTAAGCTCCTCGGCATCTGTCATCTTTGCAACCTTCTCCATGAACTCCACCATTTCCTCATACCGCTCAGCCTGCTCGGCCAACTTAGCCATGTAAACACTGTCTTCCCTTGATTCAGTCGCCATTTCTACCGCTCACAGCAAAATTAAAAATCTGGCAGCATAAAAGCACAACACATGAGACATACTTTTCTTGTAAGCTAATAGGAATAGCAAATGCAAATCTCTAAACTTATTGCAGCAAATTTCATACCAAATCTAATCACTAACAAAACAATCAATCAAATCATCCAAAATATCATACAACATTATGTTTTCATATACCGATTGACTTGTGATTTTGTCATAAATTCCTAAACTAATATTAATATTTACTTTGTTTCACATTAACCTTCCTTATCAAAAGAACATAAAATATTACAAAACCAACCCATTTTAATTATAATAATAATTTCTCTAACATTTGGTAAATGATTTAATTAAACCCGAAATTTGGTGTCAAAGTCTACATGTCACCCAACTAATTAAAAAAACAAATTAACCACTCGTACTTTATTATGCAAAGCTTAAAAAGCAACCTTTAACAAATAATCATGAACAAAAATTTAAAAACAAGAAGAAAAAAAAACACCCCATAATTTATTCAATTGCCCATTTTCAGCGATCATCCATGATAATTCTATTGTATCTGAATTTTAATAAACAAACAATGTGACAATTATTCAAATAATGGTTTCTGATAAAACATGATAAACAAAATTAATAAACAAAACATAAAATCATTAGATTAATTTCATTCCCAATTAATAATCGACAATAATCAACAGCAATAACGTAAAAATTAACCAAAGTACAACACCAAAAAGAAAATCAAATAATTAAAAATAAAATTAACAAGTCAAATGTTCACACATTTACGAAACCGGAATCTCGCAAAATAAATTAAAGCAAAGATCTGAGACAAATTGAAAAACACAATTATTAAAGAAATTGTAGAAAATAGTCGAATCGATGAGAAAGAAGAATGAAGCACAAACCCTAAAAATGAAGGGGAAATCGGAGGAGAGAGAAAAGGGACGTACCAGAGAAAGAGGGGGAGAGGAAGAGGGCGAGTGGAAGGTGAGAAGAATAGGGGAAGGGAGATTAAATATGGGAAGAATATCATTTTATTTATTATTAATATGTGATATTAAAATTAGGGGTCCAATTGAAACCTGACACCTGGTTGGGAACCAGGGAATCTTTTTTTTTTTATTTTTATACTAGTCGTTGGAGCAACGTCAAAATAAGTATGATTCGTGAAATTGTTCCAAAAGGTCTTTGTAATTTTGTTTAGGTTAAGATTATAGAGGCGTTTTAATTTATAAGTTGTTAGAAGGGGTAGTGATAAAACTTGTAAGATAAGTAAAATTCGATTGTAATATTCATGGTTGTATTCGGGTGTTGTAATAGCAAGGATACAAGAATTTGTAAGTACTAACAAGGAATAGTGATAAAGTTTCTATGGAGATATATGTATGGAAAAACAATTGATATAAGTGAAGTTATCTAGAATTTGTTAGAATTTAATGATTTTAAAAAAAGTATACTATTGTTTTAGATATTATTTCAGAACATAATATGGTTTATTGAGTACCTAAATAATTTCGAAGAGCTTTATTTTAAAATGATTGTGATTATAAGGATTAGTAATAAGGAAATGCAATCTTAGAGGTTAAAGTTATGTAAAATGGATTAAATATAAAATATATAAAAGAATTGTATACATATTTGTTAGACTATTTAAAGTAGAAAATTTTCGAGTGGTTCTTCTATTGGAAATTATAATTGTTAGAGTTTGTAAACTGATACAATACATTTAAAGGGCTGTTTAGTGAACTAAGCTGGTTCTTGCAAAAAAAACTTGTTCTTGATACCCCTCATGTACTGCTTTTCTTGGAGTACCGGAGGACCTTTCAATTGGTGGATAATCTAGGACCTCCAAATAAAAATAAATAAATAAATACATAAAATATAAAAAAAGTAGATGCTATGACTGGGTTGTGCAAAAGTGTGTTTTTTATACTTCTCTTTTTTTGGGTGTGGGAGGGGGGATGGGTCCTGAAGGCTACTTTCTTCTTGTTATCTCTGTACACCATGCTCTTTAATGGAAGGAACAAAACAACATATAAGCATAGTTGCCTAAGCTCGTCCTGAAATGATTAAAACAGGACAACAATAAAATATGCAAAAACCCGAGATCAAGTAAAAAATGACTGATAATGAAGTACAAAACCTGAACCAGTAGCAACAAAAAAATTATAAATTTTGTCCTCAATTGTTCAATAAAAAATTACTAAGCTCTTCAGAGACAAAGTACACAATAAAGAAGTTTAGCACTTCATAGTGTTTATACATCTACCAGCAGTCCACCAAGTACTGAAAATCATATTCATGTTCCACGGTCAGGACCTTTGTCTCGGATAAAAATACAGTTCAAAGATTACAAATATATATTTCATATATACTTGTATAGTTGTATAGAAATGGAAAACATATAGATGCATAGTTCAAAGGTCAACAACAAAGTCTTAATCTTAATGTACTTGGCATTAACTTGCAAGTGCAAATCCACCAACTCTACAAAATTTTAGCTTAGTTTAAGAGCATAACAGCAGTCATAATATAGTATCTAAATAACTGCAAGATATACACTCATAAGCTTTTGGCCAACCAGCAGCATCTGCAATATGATGAGATGAAATAATGCAGACTGACATTTAAGATAAGAGTTCCCAATGAATGAACCAGCCTCCATGTTCTACCCATGAAAGCAAGACAAAGCCTGTTGTAAACAAAAAAGAGATAGTAAGCACGGAAAAAGATCAGGCACTACTTTTCATTTTGATCAGAGAAACTTTGATTTCTAGTGTATGCCAATAGAGTTGTACCAATATTTGAAAAGTCGCTTCAAATGGTTACACTATCAAGACTTATCTTATTGTGGTGGACTGGTGGTGGTGGTGGTGGTGGTGGTGGTGGAGGGGTATGTGTAGAAAGGGAGGGATGCCCTAGATTCCTAAACATCATCATCCATGGATTAGAAGCCAATATAAAGACCTTTACTTTAGAAAAATAAATTTCAAGATCACCAGTTTACATTTTGACATTCACTGGTAATTATTCTTTCTAAAGTGACAAAGCATGCCAATTATGTACCAACAAGTAGCAACTCAAAAGTTACCAATGTAGAACACTTAACTTATAATGAGGTAAGCAGAGAACAGAAAAAGGCTCAAACCTATCACACGCTCCCGGTAGTGAAGGCTCAACATTAGAAGGAAGACCAAAGACAACCCAGAATAGTTGCAAAGCCAAATCAAAAAGATCAAAACTTTATCATCCAAGAAAACAATTATAATCAAAAGTAGTTTATAATCCAAGAAGCATAAAAATCAAAAGTTCAAAACTTTATCACCCAAAAAGCATATAATATAATAAAAAAATCAAAACTTTATCAGCTAATAAACTTATAATCATTCAATTTAACCCAAAATCAAAACTTTATCATTTAGAAAACTTACAATCATTCAATTCAATCCAAAAAATGAAGTGGGATACCTCAGGAGAGAGACGCTTGCAGTGACCACACTAAGGAGCGTGGAAATCAACGTAGACATAATCAAAAGAAGAAATGGTTTAACCAAAGTTTTTTGCAAAAACCAGCTTAGTTCACTAAACAACCCTTTAAATTTACTGCAAAACAAGTTATTGAGCTATCTAGGAACTTCGGGCTTAAATATAAGTTATGGTATCGCTTACACTTCATTTTATCTTTGTCAGGAGTTCTAGGGTGAAAGACACTCAATGATCGAACAAACTCTCCAAACTCAATGCAGCCATTGTGGTTGACATCAAAGAGATCAAAAATTTGCAATTATGCAATTAACCGAGTAAGTAAGGCTGTGGCAAAAGGCTGTGATACATTTTAAGTCAGTACAATAGTCTGGGAAGTGCATATAACAAAAACAGTAGTGAATTAGTAATTTGTCAGCATGTGCAAGGCCCTAGATAGTAATAAAATCCACCATATATATCAGTCTGACTGCCAAAACGACACGTGACACCTAGCAATCAGTGAATCAGATCATACAATGATATTCCCACAGTTCAAATTGCTAAAAGGTTGTCCAGTTTTATGAATTCTGAAGTAATATAACTTCAAGAGTTCATACTTAATAAACACTGCTCAACTTATCTTGTAAGGCAAAAAATACTTCAGTATTATGTAAACTGAAGGAAAAAGAACAAGTGAACAACTATAGATCGGAAATTCTTGCATGAAATATGGGACATCAGCATCTAACAACAAAAAGGAAACACATACTCTGTCAAGAAAAAGGCTTCTCTTCATACTATTCTTAAATAATGCAAGTTGAAGTTCTTCCTGATCATCATAATTGATAATTGTATTAGAATAAAGAAACAATAATAACTTGATATAGCAATAATATAATACATAACAACTCTTCATTTGCTACCATATAAAACAGATTATCACTTGTACATCAAGGATATTTATATACCTTTTGAATAAAACCATCTTTGACAACAGAGTTGCTGAGTTTATTGAATAAGTCATATAAAAGATCCACTTCATCCTCAGTAACTGCAACACAAAACAATCAATAAATTATCAAATTATAAATATTTATTTTGTCTAAAATATTTAGGTAATTTTGGGCATAGCTTCTTTGTTTAATTTTAAAAAAAAAAACCGAAAAAGAAGTATGTAACATTACTTTTGTGAAAGAAAAAGAAAAACCTTTCAAAAAATATGGAGTAAAAAGATCATATTTTGTACCAAAAATCAAAATATTGTGCCAAATATTTCAGAAGTACCAACTCCGAGTCCAACATAATTTCTTAGTTATGGCACACATATATGCGAGTACAAGTCTTCTACTTATAAAAGTAATGCAAAATTTACCTTTTTTCATCTTTGATATTCCCATCTTCAGTTTGATTTTCCTCGTCCATTTCCTCATCGTCTTCATTGTCCACTTCCAGAAAATATTTCTGATAAATGTTACTATTGTCAGGATCTTCTGTTGCTTCACAAGACAACTACAAATGGCACAAGGCTCAAACAAGGCAAGCTAAAATGAATAAAAACTTACATCATCTTCAGTGACTGGTTCTCCGGGAACAGTTAAAAGAATTGGCTCAGGCTCCAGCTCTTTTTTATAAATTTTCTCCATCTCTTCTGCAACAGCTTGTGCCAAGGAGTCCTAAAATGCTCATCGATTAAAATTAAGTAAACGTTTGATGTGGTTAAAACCGCAAGACAATAAGAGATATTGGGTAATAACTAATAACCTTATGACTCTCATCCTCTGGATTAAAAGAGCATCCTTGAGGCTCAACTTCAACTGCTGGAATTTGTGAAGGTTTACCTTTTTGTAAATCAAACAATTCATAATGGACACCAGTCAGACAAGGGAGCTAGATCATACCCAGCCAGATATAAAAAGAATCAAGTAATAGACTCTGTGCATCAAATATATATCTAAAATCAAGGGATCTCATAAGAGACTTTGACCCAAAGATCAACAGAAAAGATATCCAAATTTGACAAGCCAAATACTTTACATAACATGTGTAACAGTGTAAGCACCTTTTAATGGGAAATAAATAATCAAATGTCTACATACTTAAGGATGGGAATCATTAGATGATTAGGTTAGCACAATTCTATTCAAAATGACAATCAAATAAAGAAGCAGGAACATTAAAGTATTTGAATACCAAGTTTCATACCCTAATTTGCAGCCAATGACCTGTTTTTCTAAGATATCAAATATTTTACTAATTATGATTGACTAAAAAAAGAAGATTGGATGATGCCTAAAATAATCGAAAACCAAATGAACAAATAAAGACAAAAAAATCGAAAACAAATCGATCAAATAAACCCCAAAACAATCGAAAGCCAATCGACCAAATAAAGTCAAAAAATCGAAAACAAATCGATCAAATAAACCCCAAAATAATCGAAAACCAATCGACCAAATAAAGCCAAAAAATCGAAAACAAATCCATCAAATAAACCCCAATAAAAACGAAGCGATTTTGTTGAAATACACCCACAAAGATTCAACCAAAAAAATTCGAATACACATTGAACATATCGAAAACAAAAGGAACATATATGCAAAAATCCACGACAATCAAACCCAAAAATTTGAAACTAAATCAAGAGAGAGAAACAAAATCGAACCTGATAAATGTGACGATCGAAAAGTAATCTTCCACAACCTCGGACGCTGAAAAGAATTGAAGCCCCATCGTCGAAAGCGATGATTGATGGGGTTAGAACGGTCGTACATTCCACACTCAATCAAACACATTTATTATCAAACACCTTACAAACCAAGCATAATGACAAGTAAGAGTTCGGTCCACAAGGAACGGGATATGGTTGCCAAAGATCTTTACACTTAAGCTAATTCGAAGTCAATTGGTGAATTGGGGTTCGTCAAGAAGACAAAAAAACTATGGTTCTAAATCAATAAATTAAAGATACTAGGGAATGGGATCCACTCAACCAAGGCAATTAGGTATACGGGGAGTAAAATAGACAAGATATAGCAAGGACTATATGTAAAATCAACCTCATGCAATTAGAAAACAACTCACACTACTAAACTTAGATTCCTCATTAGTTTAGCAATAGATGATACATAATCAAATTACAATAAGTAATGACATACTCAATTTACACTTCCATGTCAAATTAGCACTAGTGGAAAAATTGTCATTTGTAACACCCTATTTGTAACAGGCATGATAAAATCCGTTACAAAAAGAGTAATTGTAACGGGCAAAATATTTGATCGTTACGAAAAAACTTATTCGTAACGGGCAAACAAATGTCCGTTAAGAACAATTAATAATTGTAACGGGCAAATAAATGTCCGTTACGGATAGTTATTAATTGTAACGGACAAATATAAAGCCCGTTACAAGTAAATAACTCTCTAGGGTTAAATGTTCGATCTGTTCCCACTTCCCCCAGCCGCATTTCTTCCTCACTCCTCTTCTCTTTCTCTCTCCTCATGCCACTCTCTCTTTCCGCATCTCTTTTCTTCCTCACTCATCTGCTCTTTCTCTCTCCTCAAATCACTCACTCTCTCTACTCAAACCAAAAATTGTCAATAGCTAAAACTCAAGAGTGATTTGATCAAGAACATTAGGGAGATCGAGGCCGACGAGACATTGTCTGCGCCTGAAAAGGCGAAGAAGCGTCGTCAACTTCTGGTTGGGGTTAGATCCGGAGCAAGCATCGATTGCCCACAACCACCGTCGCCACCGTCGTCAATTTGAACCAAATACAACAACAACAACAACAACAACAACAACAAAAACAAACTTACAATAAGTAATGACATACTCAATTTACACTTCCATGTCAAATTAGGCATATCATACTATCAAGCTCCTAAGTCAAGGGTAGCTAAACCTATCATGAGGAACTAACAAGCAATCTCATATAATCAATTTAATTGCAATACAAACATCAATGCTTCTCCCACATTTGCATAGTTAACCCAAAAGGTCGAGCTTCACCCAACCCCTAGCAAGAAGACTACTCACAACTCATGTTTATCAACATGCAATCAAGAATTAGGGTTCTAAATACTTCAATAATTGGGGAAAAGTGGTTAACAATTGAAATAACTATCATCCAATAACAAATTACCAAGAACTAAGAAGATTTAAATAACATGCAAATACCAAATAAAATCTGAAATTAAGTGGAAAAAGGTTGGAGAAATTACTAATTGAAGCTTCAAATGTTGAATACAAATTGCCAAACTTTGAGAGTAATTCTTGAATTTCACTAATACAATGATTTGATTTGATGAAAACTAAGCTAAATTAATCCTAAGGAATGTTTCAAACTAAGATAGGTTTCTGAAAACTAGGCTACTGTACTCTCCCTCTAAATGAGCTAAAGGGGAAGTATTTATACTCCCCGAAACACATAGGGAAAACCGTCAAAAGAAAACGGATTCCCAGCAGGGAGCGCCCGCTCCACAATGAGGAGCGTCCGCTTCTTTCGGCTGCACGCCCTCTCCAGAATGCTTCAATGAAGGATCAGATTTGAAAGAGTCAAGGAGGAGCGCCCGCTCCTCACATGATGCACGCCCGCTCCTAACAACACCTGAACTTGAGCAGAATGTAGCTAGAGTCGAGGAGCGCCCGCTCCATGAGAGGTGCACGCCCGCTCCCCTGGAGCGCCCTCTCCAATCTTCAATCCTCTTGTCTTAAACACGATTCATGCACCGAAAGCCTGCCCAATTGAGTCCATAAACCTGCAAAACATGGACAAACACAAACCAAGAGGGGGAAAGCCGAGACAAAACATTTTCATTCAAAATAGGGTTAGAAAGAGGGGAAATGAACGCAAAATCGGGTTTAAATTTACACAATAAGTGGTCAAATAAACCACTTATCAAATCCCCCCAAGCTAGCCAAATGCTTGTCCTCAAGCAATTCACATTGCCCAAAAACAAACCCAAAGATCAATTTGCTCAAAGAAAAGCACATGCATAGATATGAGAATCCTTAAGCAATAAAACTCGAGCATGAGGTATATGCCTAAGATCAACCACGGTCATGACTAGCCAAGGCCTAGCTAACCTTCCCGAATGTACTCAACTTTGGTCCATTCAACCAATCTTACCGCGTCCCCAACACAAAGTTCAAATTCGGTAATGTCTCATGACTCCTCGAAGGAGCCGGAAGAAAAATAGACCAAATAAGGTTTAGAACACTCGACATCTCAATGATAAGTACCCTCTCCATATGCTTGTGAACCAACTCCCTCCACCGTCTATGGCTTCAACTATTCTACTAACATTACAAGACTCAAGGAATACGTCACAAATTTAAGGCATAGAGAAAACTAGAAGTGCTTTGCAATTAAAGTCAAGCTAAGATATATAGCACTAAGAGCAAACCTAAAGAGGTTTCTAACTTTGACCCAAATTACAAACTATGAATAAACTTGAAACAAAAACGCACCCCCAAGCTTGTTTAATCGCTAGGGTGGTGGCTATTCATCACTTCTTTTCTTTCTTTCTTTTTTTTTTCAAACTTGGGCATTTACATCACAAACTATTATTTATAACAACTTAAAGATTGAACTAAGGAAACAAGAATGACATGCCTTAACTTTGTGCTAATGAACAATACATAACAACTTCATATTACTAAGAGTAGTTTAGGCCGCGATCTTGGGAGTCAGGACTCAAGTTCTCGATCTAGGTACTAAATCAAAGAGGATCCTTGCCACTCATTCAAAATGTAGTCGGCTTGAAAAAAATATTACAACCTCACTTTTGGGAACAATGTGGGATCAATTACTACCTTTTGGGGTTCAAATTCCTTTGATATGGGCGACTCCATCTTACCACAAACCTAGACTTTAAGTTTCGCACATTCGGGAAAGTTATTCTCACACTAGCCTAAACTAACCAATTCTATGTTCAACCAAGGGCATCTAAACCATGCTCGAAATTTTATTACGAAAAGAAAACAAACATCCACCACATACAATTCAATATCATCATTGCAAACCGATCAAAGGCAAACAAAATCTTTTTTTTTTTTTTTTTTTTGAAAAAGGTTGAAGATGGGGGAAAGAGAAACTAATTAAAGAATTTGGATATTAGGGAATTTGGATGTTAGAGGGGTTAGAGGATAAGAAAAAGAAATTTGGATATTAAGGGAAATCATCATCAAAATTCATCATCAAGCAAGACCAAGGACAATGCCAATCAACCATGATACCAACCACCAAGCAAACCAACCAAAGCATAATCATATCAAAGCCATAGATAAGATGCTCCAAATAGCACACACATAAAGAGAAGTGAGACAAAAACATCAATATGCAATTGTTCTAGCCTAGGCATGCCATAAAAACGTGAAAAGGGTAACAACCAACCTAAAATAGGCACGCAAACTAGAACATAATACATTATGAATCCTACCACAAGTCCCAAAGGTTAGACTACCCTTCCACGATAGATAGCACAAACAATCTCAAACTTCTCCATACATAGCACAAAAGGCATCACAAGAAAGCACATTTCCTACCAAAACCGAAAACTACCCTAGACACAAAGACTTCCCCCAAGCTAGACATTTGATTACCGTTCCCACGATAGATGGACACAATGAGAAACATCTCCCCCCCCCAAGCTAGAACTCGACACCGGCCTCGGTATTACACATGATGGGAAAAGAAGAGAAGGGAACGGTAAAAAAAAATGTCTAAAGGCTACTCCCGATCATCCTCCCTAGGCGGTGATGGCATGTAGTTATAGTTGAGGTCTACATCGCCAAAAAAGGAAGGTTGATCCACGTATGGAGGAAGATCATAGTTGGGGCTACTACGATAGTGACCGTAGTCCGGTGCATTACTAGTGCCCCACCCACCATCATACCCGGGTGGAAACCCGAAGTATCCCCTTAAGGGGTGGTTATCGATTTCCTCGGGAGTCATATTACCACATGTCTCGGGGACGTGGTAATAAGAAGGGTCCCCCCTAAAATCACAACCCCCGGGTTGTGTATAATCGTAGGGAGGGGAGGATCGTAGCTCTGAAACGGAGCTACGAGGTCCTTGCCAATAAGAGTAGGTGGGTTGGTTGTTGTTCCAACCCGCAACCGGCCCCTCTTGAACGGGGCGGTTAGGATAGTTGACATAGGGGAGAAAGTCTCCCCTCTCAACTTGGTTTTGATATGTCATTTGAGACATATAACTTTGATATTCATTTTCTTGGAGGATTTTTTGGTTGGAAAGATTTAGGTGGTGAAAAGCCAATTCAAGGTCGA